AGGGCCTTGCTAAATTGCTGAGGCTGGCTTTGAACTTGCAGTCCTCCTGTGGTCAGCCTCCCAAACCGCTGGAATTATAGGCATGTACCACTGCACCCAGCCACTGGTCTCTCTTATTTTAAAATAATACTTATTTCCAAGGGAAAGCACTGCTTTTTGTACCTCCATGTTTCTTTCTTTGGTGTTTATTATCTAAGGGAAGAGTTTGATCTAACTAGACTATTTGCAGATGATCTTAAATCTGAGCAACTTTATCAAATTTTAAACTATCATCAGAGTTGGCCTACATTCGAAAGTCTGTTACCTCATGTATTACTCCCTCCCTGGATTGTACACTCAACTAACAGGGTATTTGTTGGGTACCAACTTGGAGTAGACCTTTCTGACAGGTTTATTAGAGGACATAAAAGGAATACAAGATATGAACCTTGCCCCCTGTAATTTAATACTATAAAAAAGTGTGGACTCTGGGTCATACTGCTTAGCTTCTTATTCCAGATCCCTTACTTCTACCTATATGATTTTGAAAAGATATTTAACCTTTCTCTGTCCCATTTTCTTAATCTGAAAAAAAGGTTAATAAGAATACTTATAAAGTTGTGTGATGTATTAATGATATTAACATGCATGATTATTGTTCCTGGTATTGTAGAAAGCACTACATACCATAAAAATGATCACTACAGCAATCATAAATAAAATACTCAAATCAGAACTAAGGTATCACATAATTAAATTCCACAATGAGGGTTGAAAATAAATCTAGGCTGTTCATAAATTGACTGTATTTTCCATATGCCATCCTGCCTCCTTAAATATCAAAGTCCCAGGCTGTTTACAGTCTTTGTTCAGAAATGAGAAAAGATACAAACCTGTAAAAATCCTGAACTGTTTAAGGAAATTTGGTTAAAACTTCCAGGTAGGTCTTCCTCTCCCCAATTCAGGATGTTCCTTCCCATACTCAAGCCTGTCTGCATCTGTTCACTTTGTGTTCTGTATTACACAAAGTGAACAGAATGAATGTTTGGCAGTTGCAGACTTGAGTGAATAGCATTCTCATTTATCCTTTAAGGATGCTAAGATCCAATGAGTCAGTTTGTACCTTAGTATTGCAATCAGATTCTTTTTCATTGATTATTTGGCCAAAAGTCAGAGTTGATGAAAAAACAAACAAAAAAGTGGAAATTTGTTGTTTAGAACAGAGGTGAGTAATTTTTTTTTTTTTGAGGTGAGTAATTTTGAACAGAGTATTTTATTTGCTCAGTAGAGATTTTTCAGTGGGTGTCAGGCAGCATGACATCATTGGGGATGGGAGGAAGGGACAAAGAGACAAATGATAGAATGTCAAAATTATTTCTTTTCTTCTTAAGTGTTGTCTATTTTAATTTATTCCTATTATTATAGTTGAAGCAAAGTTTTTCCGGCTCAAGCTAGGAAGCTAACTTGGATTCCAAATAATAAAAAGCATAAAAGTCCCTTAAATTTTTTTGGAATGTACCTCCTTTGTAAATGATGCAAACAGTAATAACTTTGTAAATTCAGAAGAGATTTTTTTCCCTTGAGGGCTGTATTATGGGAGTAGTCAGGGAAAATATAGGACTTGAATTGGATGATTGTTCTTAATATGAATAGTAGGAAAGTGAAGAGATTAAAGGGGTGGAGCTGAGGACAAGTATGATGTCTGAAAAAAAGTAGAAAGTAGTGGAAAGTGAGATTGACCTAGTAGTATTTCAACCTTGTGACTGAAAAATCAGAATTTTTTCTTTAGAATTAGTTGTTTTACTGCTTACTATTTTACACTATAAGTTTAATTCCAAATTATCCTCCTTTTTCAGTGTAAGCTAATTTTATGTCATGCTTTAAGAAATAGACTAAATGGAATTGTTGTTTATAGAATCCGAGGTTTTAAATTTGTCTTTCTACTCTGAAAAATTTAATTTTTTTTTATACTAGGGATTGAACTCAGGGACTGTTTCCTACTGAGCTAGACTTACACCCCAGCCATTTTTTTTTTTTTAAGTCTCTCAGATCTGAAATTTGTATTTCAAAGATGAGCTAGGCAGGACCCATTTCAAAGCCTGATTTGCTATTGATTCAAATGGGTGTTCTCAAACTACATACAACAGAATGTCAGTCTCCCAAAGATAGGGGACAAACCCAATAGGACAGCTTTGGGGTCTAATCTATAAATATAAAAATTAACACAAAATTTCTATATTTAGATTTTAACAACTTCCGTTTAACATCTTTTCTGTGCATTGGGTGTTATTTTGAAGTACTTTATAAAATTTTCATCATTAAAACACTGTGAAGTAGGTATTTACCCCATATTACAAATGGGAAAAAATAGGCTCAAAGTTACTATTTCTATAGAGCTAGGGAAATGGGAAGCCCTACACCAGGGTATGCATCTGAAATACATTACCCCAAATATTTTATTTTATTATTTTTTTTTATCTTTTTTTTAAATTTTTTATTGTTGGTTGTTCAAAACATTACATAGTTCTTGATATATCATATTTCACACTTTGATTCAAGTGGGTTATGAGCTCCCATTTTTACTAACCCAAATATTTTAATGTTCTAAGTCACCTAACACCTGAAAACAAATTTTCATTTTATGATCAGTGAGAATCTTGCCAGGTAAGGTAGTGCACACCTGTAATCCCAGCCACTCACAAAACTGAGGCAGGATTGCAAGTTTAAGACCAACCTCAGCAATTTAGCAAGACCCTAAGGACATAATGAGACCCTGTCTCTAAACAAAACAAAAATGGGCTGGGGACATGACTCATTGGTTAAGTGACCCTGGGTTCAATCCTCTACCGAAAAGAAAAAAAAAAAACCTTAGATAATCAAAATAGTCAAACCGTCAACAAAGACTTCTGTAGATATCTAGTCTATAGATGATCAACTTTCACTAATAACTCTTATATCAATTTGCAAGTTAACTGCTGCCTCCTCAATAAGCATTCCTAAAATAAATGCTATCCCCTCTAAAATACAAATCCTAGTGAAATTTAGATTAGTCAGGGAATATCACAGCCATCTTAAATACTTCTTAGGCTAGTTATCAGGAATTCTAAATTTAAGATCCGAGATTTCAGATATAATTCAAAATCTACTCTGGTATTCTACCTTGAACTTAATAAAAAACTAATTTTTTTGTTAATTTTTTAAAAAAATTAAATATTTACATATTAGAATTTACCATCCTAGCTACATAAAGTTTCCTAAGGCCAGAGCAGGTGGGGGACAAGTTACCTAATAAATGAATATAACTATCAAGCACACAGCATAATCTTTCTTTGAAAGTTCATGAACTTCTTAAAGTGTATTAAATTCCAGATCTGAATTTCAAAATTTAAAACATTTTACCTCACTCGACTGTATCTAAGAACTATTGGGCATAAATTTTTTTAAAGGGAAAACTAATTCAGCGTATTAAGACAAAGACAATAGAAATAATATACATGATTTTACTACAATTTTTTTTAGGTGTAGTTGGACACAATGCCTTTATTTTATTTACTTATTTTTTTATGTGGTGCTGAGGATGGAACCCAGGGCCTCGCACATGCTAGGAGAGCACTCTACCACTGAACCACAGCCCCAGCCCCTCAATTAAAAAAAAAAAAAAAAAAAAAAAAACAACCAAAATGCAATATCCTAAAAACCCCCAAATTTACTAATTCCTACCAGTTTGCTGTGCTACCATACACAAGAAATTAAAGAAACCATTAAATATTTAGGAACATTCAACATCAGAAGCTTTAAAATATAACTGTATGTAGTAGCCCTTCAAAAAGCTACAATCTAAATTTTTAAAAATGTATTTCCTCTACAAAGAATCTTAGCCACTATACAAAAATCTGTATACAGTTTTTATACTGAAGCTAATATTGAGCTGCACTTGAATTCACATTCTTAGCAAACAGTTGCCTGAACACACACACACACACTCCACACACATCATTACCGGGGACAGCCACTAATTCTTCATCCTCTCCTCTTCCTCATCATTCGTCCTCCTCCTCTTCTTCCTCCTCTTCCTCTTCATCTTCTGGTTAGGGTTTTGCTAAGTTGCCCAGGCTGTCCTTGAATTTGAGATTCTTCTGCCTCAGCCTCCTGAGTTGCTGAGATTATAGGTGTGTGCTACCATGTGCTGCTGGAAATCATTTTAGATGACAAGTTCTTTAAGCAATATGTGATACCTTAATCTAGCTCTGTTAAGCATTGTAACATTGAATTCTGTAGGCCTCCAGTTTTGAAGGCAAAGAAAACCTTCAAAGTACTCTATTATGAAGGCCTGAGATGAACCCAGTTCTTTAATTCCTTCCTACTTTTTCAGTTTGTTTTATAGATGTACATGGTAATGTTTTCTCCCGTTTATGATATGTATGGAAATTAATGGAGAAAATAGGAGAAACTTCACTGAAAATTTTGCAGAAGCACATTCTATACAGCAAGAGCCAATTGTATTTAAATTTCCAATGTATTTTCCAGAGGCATCTATGAAGTGTGTGTGTGGGTGTGGGTGTGGGTGTGTGTGTGGTAAGAGATTCAGAAAGACTACCATATGCCACAATTTTTAGTTATTTAGAGGCATTTTTTTTCTTTGAGTCATGTCTGTTGGAAATATAAAGTGCAAATGAATATTTACAAATCAAAATTTAAAAAAGAAACTCTTATCTATATCTGATATAGATAATAAGCCCCAATATAAATCCTTATAAGACATGTGAAACTTGAAAACCCATTGTTTCTGTTCCAGTGGCTGCTACTTCCAGTTGAATTTCTCTTTAATATTGTGATTTATCTTGTCTTACATAAAAGTTTTTTTAAAATATAGTATGTTTATACTCAAGTTGAACAGTATCTCCAGATTAATAATTCCAAAAATTCTTAAAAGAGGTTTGTGCAGATATATATATATTTTAATTTCTAAATTCACCATTTTGATACAAATACCCATGGTTTTCTTCTGTGTTTACATGCAGCCAGGAGCTATGGGCGGAGACGAGGTAAAAAAAATTTTTTAATGAGATCTTTTGCTTGCCAAATTGTGAGTAAATATGAGTGTGTGTGTATTTAATCCCTGTGTGTATAAAACAAAAATTGTTATATGGTGTGATGTTTTAACTTAATTATTTTAGCAAAGTAATTAATTTATTACTTTCATTACAATGACTTTTACTGTTTATTGGTAATTTGTTCTTTTAAGCCTAATAAAGGTATGGAGAAGATTTTTTCTACCTGGAAATTTTGTTTTCTGGCTTATTGTGAATAAATGTGAGGAAATAAAAGGCCAAGCATATGTATTTTTTTGCCTTGTATTCACTATGTTCTGATCCTTTTTTGAGTTGGGGGTACACTGGATTGAACCCAGGGTTGCTTTACCACTCACCTACATCTCCAGTACTTTGTATATTTTGAGATAGGATCTTGTTAAGTTGCTGAGGGTTTCGCTAATTTGTCCAAGCTGGCTTCAGATGTACAGTTCTCCTGCCTTAGCCTCAGTTGCTGAAATTATAGGCGTGTGCCACTATGCCTGACTCAATTTGGTTCTATTTTCAAACTACTTAATACTACTTAAAAGGCAGAGGGTAGGTTTTAGAAGGTGTTTTTTGATCTCAGGTTAACTGGTGATTTATTTATTTATTTTTTATTTATTTTGCCACATCCAAGAACAAATTTACCCCAAAGCTTAAATTTTAGGGGCTGTTATCTGCAGGGGTGAGTGCCTTTCAAAGTCTTTACCTATAATGTTGTGTTATTTTTCTTAAAGAGGTGTATCAAAATGGGCTTAAGTCCCTATAAAACCTGTGTTCTTTCCTGGTAATTCCTGAATGAAGCAATTTAACTTCGATTTGTGTAATGCTGTAGCCTTTCTAAAGCATTTCCATATCTGTATTTTTTTCCAAATAATTTTAGGAAGTAGCTAGGGAAAGCTTAGTGTAGTGGAAAGAATATAGGAGAACATCAGGCCAAACACCTACGTTGTAATCACTGCCTTATCACTTAGATCTGGTGTCTTCATCAGTAAATTATGAAGTAATAAAACCAATCTTGTCCAACTTCAGAATATTAATGAAGTTCTGGTTTTTAAAAAAGGACAAGAAAATAAATCAAAAACATTTCATAAATGTAAGATGCTTTGGCGCTCATTTGCAGAAGCTGGGGAAGTAATTTACTTGCTGTGTGACCTCAAGTTAAAACCCAGAGCCAAGATTGAAATTTGTGTTTTGATTCTTTATTTGCTAAATGTTTACCATATATCAGGCTGTCTCTGACTTCATAGTTGTCTCGAAGAAAAGATAATGATGTTAAATTTATAGTATTGTATTATTATTCCATGGTAAATATTTGTTGAATGTATGGTAGAACCATCTAATTGCTTTGCTTTTCAACATCATCATGTGGAAAAATATTTCTACTTTTGGTTATTTCTCAACTGTAGAAATTAATAACATTAAATTTTTTGCTTTTCTTATTTTTAAATTTTAAAAGTTACAGCTAGAGATATTATTAAAATCATTCTGTACTATGCTTTTTTTTTATGCTAGAAAAATGATCACTGTTAAGAAGGAATAGGAAATGGACCATTTCACTTGGAAAATAAACAGGGACTGGCCTCTCCTCTTCTCACATATTAATCAGTCACCAGATCTTGTTAAGATTTCACCTCTAGTTTCTCCAGCCTTGTGCTTCTCTTTTCTACTGCTTTTGTTTCTGCTGTTCCATTTCTAGTGCCTAATCTGTTTTGTCCATATCACCCATATTCTTCCTCATTCAGGGTTCCCGTGATCTGGTCCCTCCCTGTTTCATTATCTCTCATTTTTAGCTCCTTCTCCTCCCCTGACCAATCCATGTTTTCTTACTTTCTGGCATACTCTCATCTACTTGTATAACCTATTATTTCACTAGTTTAAGCCCAATTCAGGACTTACGCTTTCTAGGAAACTTTGCCAGTGGCCTTGAGGACAGTTTTTTCTCTCTTTCTGTTGCTTTGCACTTTTCTTTTCTATGCCCTGACTGTTCAACTGGTGATAAGTTCTTTGATAGACAGTTGTCTCTTATGCCTAGCACTATGCCCTATGTATATTAGCCTATATTAAATGCTCATTCATTAGAATTATTTTGAAATAACAAACACGCTTACATCTATGTAGAACTGAGTTTGGCATCATATTTTTAGTTTTAAATTATATTTATTATTTATTTATTTAGTAGTATTGGGGATTGAACCCAGGGCCTCATGAATGCTAGACAGGTGCTCTATCACTGAGTTATATCCTCAGCCCAGCATCTTAAGTTTTTAAAAATTATTTTATTAGCTGGATGCAGTGGCATGCCTTGTAGTCCCATCTACTCTAGAGGCTGAGACAGGAGGCTCCTTTGAGCCCAGGATTTGGGGCTAGTCTTGGCTACATAGCAAGACCCCTTCTCTAAAACACAATAATAATTATCTTGTTTTTGTAAATAATAGCACATTATATTATAGACATATAGAGTATAAAATCAGGGCTGGAATATAGCTCAGTTGGTAGAATGCTTGCTTCACATGTACAGGGCCCTGGGTTTGATCCCCAGCAACACATACACACACATAAAGTATAAAATTGTGTAGTTTCTAAGCTCCTGAAAACAATTACTTTTGTTTTGTTTTGTTTTGTTTTTTGGTACCAGGGATTGAACCTAGAGGCACTTAACCACAGAGCCACATTTGCAGCCCTTTTTATTTTTTATTTTGAGATCCCATCTCAAAATAAATTCCCGAGCCACTGGGTATTCTTTTTTCTGTATTACCTTCTCCATATGTATTTGTAAAGTTTGACTTAATTGCTTTCAAATGTCATATTTTCATTTTTACAAAACACTATACTATGTATGTCAATGATGTGATGTCTGCTCTCTATAAGTCTGAAATTTGATAGTTATAGATCAACCAGGGAATGGAGACAGAAAGAAAGGAGGAGGGGGAAACATTGAAAGACTGAATTTTAAAAGTGAGAATGTTTGTTTCATGCTTAGTATACCCCCAAATCTAAAAAAGAAGAAGAGTCATGTTCCTTAAATATAATGATGTAGCCACTTGGGATGGAGCACATACACCTCATCTCTAACATTCCCATTCCCTAAGATATACTCATGTGGACTCTGCATAGTGTAATTTTGATGAACTGACAGGCTTCCTCATGCTCATTTATTCAAGTGATCAGGATTAAAATGATGTTTGATCTTTCTTCCAATTAACTTTTTTGTTTTGTTTCGTAACAGGGATTGAATCTAGGGGCATTTAACCACTGAGCTACATCCCAGGCTCTTTTTATTTTTTATTTTGAAACAGGGTTTCACTAAGTTGCTAAGGGCCTTTCTAAATTGCTGAGGCTGGCCTTGAACTTGCTATCCTTCTGTCTCAGCCTTCTGAGTATCTGGGATTACAGGCATGCACCACTATTCCCAGCTTCTTCCAATTAACATTTAGACTTGCACCAAAAATGTATAAAAATAAACTTGCTGATGTGTTACTTCATTCTACCTATGATTAAGACTAGAACTCATATTCTATGTGTTACACGTGCTTATAAATCTTTTAGGAATAGAAAGTAATGGAAATATATGTGAAAGTTTTGAGTTCTATCAGCAAGAATTAGGCCATTGGAATCTTACACCTTACTTGATAAACCTGGAAAAAGTTTCCTGAAATAGGTAGAATTTCACGAACTATTTGGATGATGGAAGAGGAATGTGAAGCAAGCATTCTAGTATGTTATTCAACTGAGAAGAAAGCTTTAGAGGTGAGATTGGCATGACCAGATGCTTGGAGCATATGTCCCTGAGTGTGTGCATGGGGCCAGCTGGAGAGGACAAGTTGGCAGTGAGAATGGTCTATGCTTCCTTGATGAATGGTTTTTGAAACAAAGGATGAGACTCTTGGACATGGACATTGAAGGCTTTTGAAATAGGGTTTCATGATATGAGTAGTGACTGCAGGAAACTTGGGCATCAGCTAAAGACTTGGATGGAAGTGTTGAGGGTGCACACCAAATACTTGTAGTAATATAGGTAAAATAGTAGTAGTAGAGAAGAAGAATAGATGTGAAAGTTAATATCAGCTTTATGTGTTTATTTAGTTTTCTCATCGATATCCATTTTTATTTTGTTCCAGCAGATAATTCCTTTTTGCTACACCAACGAATCTCAGCATTTTATTTTAGGAATATTCTTTCTTTAACAAGCTTTAATATGTGTTCTCATATACAATTATAACCCATATTTGAAACAAGTCTTTTGAGTAGTGTTATCCAAGATCTTTGTGTACACATTTAATATATGTTGTATTTTTCATTTCACGTTGTGTGAGATTTTTTGTCGTTATTATTTCTATATGACTCTTGTCTGTATGTATGTGAACTGAACATGTTGGCTGTGCCAGTGATTTTTTTCTTTTTTCTATTTTGGTGCTGAGGACTGAATCCATGGCTTCATGCATGCTAAGTGTGTACCTGCCCTATACCAGTGCTCCTGATATTGAATGGAATTTCCTAGTTATAGAGCAATAAGGAAAATATAATTTTTTTGAAATACTGGAGTACACATGCTAAGCAAGTACCTTATCCCTGAACTACATCGCTAGCCCTAAAAGATCCTTTGAAACAATGTACATCAGCAAATATAAAGAGTTCTTGTTACAAATGTGCTTCTGCATATACTTAGTTCATGAAAATCTACTGATATTAATTAATGACTTAATTGATAATTAAAGTTCTAAAGTACAATAAAACAAACTTGTATACTGAGTTGAGGTCAAGTCTTTCTGTCAAAAGTCTGCTCAAGGGAGGAATGATCAGTTATTCTGAAAAGACCATGGTACAAACATGCCATCCTACAAATTCAAACCAGTTATTTGAGCTTGTTTATTTAAAGATATGGATGGTTCTGGAGTAAAACATGGACATAATTTGAAGAGCTTCCTGATTGTTCATGACTGTAATATCTTAAAATGGTACTGCTCATCCTA